ATACAAAAAAAAATAAAACTTTTATAAATTAAAAGAGAAATATGTTGGAAAAAAAAAGACAACAAAAAAAGCTAATTGAAAGTTTTATCGATTGGAAAATTAAAATAACCGATTAAATGATTGATAACATTGTTGTTGTTTTTTTTTTTGATATTATTACTCTATTAGAATGTGTGTGACAGTTTTATTATCACCAAAAATTATAATTTGTAAGCAAAATTTTACATAATGAGAATTCATATTTCAGAACTTAAATTTTCCAATTTTACATTTTAAAAAAATTTGAATTTGATAATTTTAAATGGAAAACTTTTAAAATTTGAAATACTATTGCTACTGTAAAGTAAAGGGGAAAAAAAATAATTTTTTTTAGGAAAATTTGATGAAAAAGATGAACCGATACTACTTTCTGGCTTACATCATTTTCCATTTCAATTTCAATTACCAAATTGTTCAATGCCATGTTCATTGGAAACAAAATTTGGAACAATACGTTATTATATTAAAGTATGAATGAATCCATTTGCACATTTAAGACTATAAAAAAAGAAATTAACAAATGATAATTGATATGATAATTGATAGCAAATGATACCAAAGGTCTAAACAGGTGTTTACTTACTTTAATTTTGGGCATTTTAATACTTTAGTGTAATTTTTAGGTAATCATTAATATTCCACATGGTAGTATGCCGCAAGGTATCAAATATTTTACAATTATTGGACCATCAACAGATTGTATGGATGAAAAATATTGTGTTCGTTGAATTAATTTCATTTTTTTTTTATTCTTTTTATTTTCAATCTTAAAAATGAAATTCAAATTTAAAGTAAATTCAATAATTTAACCATTTTACAGTGTGCATTGCTTGGACAAAATAAAGAAGTAACATGGCATGGATGCTGTAGACGTGGTGCTTTAGCATTAAGGTGACATTATTGTTGACAAAATTATTAAATTTAGTAATTAACCATTGGCTATTAAGTTGATTAATAGGAATGATTAGATAATTAATAACTAATTTTATTGTGTTATTTGATTAATTATTTTTCAAGGAATAATTTAGTAATTCATTTCTATGCAAAATTATTTCCAATTAATAAATTAATGTAAGTCTCAAAAGAATTAATAAATTGACACAATTATTTATTCAAAAATTTTTTATCATTTTTAACATTTGTTAAATCAAAAAATTTTAAATTTAAAAAAAAATAATTGTTTTAGAGTTATTATGGATCGTACAGCATATTTATGTGGTGAAAATGTACGAATTTTAGCGCATGTTGAAAATCGTCAAAATGGAATAGTTTGGATTGTAATGCGTTTAATTCAGGTTTTGTGTTTTTTTTTTTTTTTTCAAATTTATAAAGAATTTTCCAATCTCATAAAAAATTTGAATTTTATAGAAGATTAATTTCAATAACAAATAAAAAAGTTTATTTAAAATAAACAATTTAAAACAATGAAAAATATTAGGATAGTATATTATCACCCTAAATTTGTGACCAATTTTTTATTTAAACATAAACACAGTCACAAAACTAAAAGATCACAATTTTTTAAATTTTTAAATAAGAATTAATTTTTTTTTAAATAAGAATTTTGGATTAATTCCAAATGTAAATTTTAATAATTTAAATGCTAATTTCAGCATGTTGAATATTTTATGGGAAAGAATGTTGGAGAAAACAAACAAATTGATTGTGTAGTTTTAGAAAGCAAGTATGTTTTGAAGTAATAATTTCAAATTAAACAGAACTTTCTATTAATTTCAAATCAATTCTTATCATATTAACAGGACATTACCTGTCGAACCGTATACACAAGGTAAATTTGACACAGCTCAATTGCAATCATTTGTCTTACCTGTTGTGCCACCAACATTGATCGGTGTTTGTAGATTGCTACAAATCTTCTACGTATTCCAAGTAAACACTTACACATATTAACTTAACTTAACCTATACTTTTTAGAATATTTCATTTTCATTTTTTTTGCTAAAAAAGTTTTCATATTTCGAAAATTGCCAAAGTTTAAAAATTATTTCAAATGTAGCAAAGAGTAAATTTAGTGACAAGAGTATGACACAGCCATGATAGCTCAGTCGGGAGAGCGTTAGACTGAAGATCTAAAGGTCGCCGGTTCGATCCCGGCTCGTGGCATCCCTTTTCTTCTCTCAAAATTTTATTAATCATTGATAGGTGATAAACCCTTTTTTGCTTCAGAAGAAAAAAATAAATTATTACTTTCCATTGGAAAATGATTAGCAATCAGAATTTAGCATGCAAATTGTGATAATCGTTAATTCAATCAGAAATCAATGATTCATTTAAAATTTAAATTTAGGCTTGCATAGAGGACGAGAAAGGTAATGAAACGCTACAGATGGACTTCCCACTTACAATTGCTACATTACCATTTGTTAAAGCAACAATGCCAAAGCCTATACTTGATTATGGTTTGTAATTAAAATTGAATTAATTAAAAATTATCAGTTAGAGAAAAGATTAAATGTTTGAAAATTTTTTTCAACAGAAAATAAAAGGACAAAATATTAAAATAAATCATTCAAATCATTTAAAGAAAAACTATAAAAAAAGAATTTTTCATATATTTAGTAATATAATCAGCTTTATCATCTCTTTTTTCTCCTATAAAAATCATTTAAATTAATAAATTAATTTTGTTCATGATTTAATTAAAGTCAGTTTCATTTAAATTTTACTTCCAATAATTGTTAAAATCAAAAGCACGAATCTTTGGAAAATGATTGCTTAATAATTTTATTAAAGAAATTGAAAATTACTGGTAATTCAATTTATGAGCCTTAACAAATCTGTAAAATTTCAATTTTAACTTTGAACAAATTCTTTTGTCAGAAAAGTTAAAAAGGGCAAAAAATGGGAAAAATGTTAAACATGAATTATCTGTTTTTTATCGTTATTACTCTTTAAAATATGAATTACTTATCTTTTAAATAAGATATTGGATTAATTAACTGTTTGTTTATATTTTATAAAATAGTAGAAAGACTATAATTGATCTAATACATAGCCATGCTAACTCGATTGTTTTGATCATATAATTCAAATGTTCTAGAAAGTTTGATCTCAGCTTGTAGCATTTTTAGAAAACTTATGAATATCTTTCTAGCTGCAAACAAAAACCTCCTATCTAATGATTTTCACTTGAAATTAAATTCAAATCGGAAATGAAAGTTATTAATGAAATACTAATTTAAAGGGTTTAAGTTTACTTATTAATTACAGAATTGTTTGATCAAAATAATTAGATTATAATTTTAAGTGTTAGTTATTTTCTACGAATTAATGGTGGGAATTTGTAAAGTAATTAGTAATATAGAAAAAGTTACTATTTTGTTTTAAAAAAAAAAAAGAAAGAATTTCAAATATTTAGACACCTGTTGTCCACATGCAGAAGGTGGTCGTTATATTTCACCTGAATTTCAAATTGGCCGCATACATGATGGAGAAAATTTAGGTTTGATTAGTATTTATTTTAAAAACTTTTTAAATTTATTTTATCAGTACGTCATTGCAATTTATTAAAAAGTTAAACAATTATCTAGTCTAAATTTTATTTTTAACTTTTAATTATGTATTAACAATTAAATTAATTTATAAACATTTTTAGAGCAATCAATTGATGATCACACTGTTCTTTATCGACCACTTTATGTTTACCTTGTCCAACAACAATCTGACTTAAGCTGTTGCGATATTGATACACAATATCTTGGCCATCAAGTCATCTTTTATTTTAACAAAATAAGCCTAGCAGTTCAACTCAAAGACTTGAATTTTATCCACAGAAATCAATGATCAATGATAATTTTCCGTTATTTTAAGATCAAGAAATCTGCATCAATGATTAGCGGAAGCGTTTCACAGATGACCATTCCGGAAACTGAACAGTATTTAGAGAAGGGATCGATATCTGATGATAATAATTCTTCGTTTGATAAAACTGATTACCAAGAACCACTATTATCATTTGACTACTCTACTCCATCTCTTTAGTAAATTTCAATGTTTTTAATCACACAAAAAAGTTTTGTGATTAAACGATGAATGATTTAAGCTATAGAATTTTAAATATAACTTTGTATGACTCATTGTTGGTGAAAATATAGTCTTCTTATTATTAAATGTTTTAAAAAATAAATTTGAGAAGGCAATTGAAGTATTTGAGAAAACTTTCAAGAAATTGCATTTTCTTAGTTTTAAGAAATTATATTTAAAATTGCATATGTCACAATGTATGCGACAGCAAATTTATTTTTATTTCAAATTATTCAAAAGCATTTAAAATTTTCAGATCATTTTCAGACTTAATGAACAATTTTTTAGGCTTTCGATATTTTATCCAATAAAGCTTTTTGATTTCCTGTTAAACACATATATGCTTACATATACATTTATACATCATAAATCTGATGTAAAATGCTCAATAAAATCGAGCGCAATTGTCAGCTGCGCTTTATTACTGTCAGCTAATACATAAAATTAAAAAAGTTTGATAAAACTATTCATTATACTACTATTAAACCAAAAAAAAAAACGTTTTTCAATTGCACTTTTAGTGATAAGATAATTAAAGCTTAAATAAATTTTAAGAATGCTTAAATGTCTTTAAAATTTTGCTGTAAAAATTTCATTCATTTTTATTTCACTCACTTTTTATTCATATAAAATAAAAAATAAACAAAAAAAAAAAAAAAAGAAAAAGAAGAAAAATTGCGCCAATTATTGCACTTGAAAAAGCACAGACACTTTTTGACAAATTTTCTGCATAACAAATTTTTAATTAACATTTCTATTTTAAGCATAAAATACACATTTCTTAGAAATATTCTAGACTTTTAAACAAAATATATAAATTTGACAAAAAATTAGAAAGTAAGAAATGGATAAATAACAAAGAGAAATGAAAGAATTGGTGATGACATTAAAATTTAATTTTGCTAATAACAAATTAATCATTTGATGAAATTATTATGCAAAAATATTCGTTGTTTTCGTAAAACAAATATCAATGCTAAGACAGAGATTGAAAATGTTATCACAGTGATAACTATTAACATTGTCAATCGAGCTGAAATTTAATAATCAATGTGAGATTTAAAAAGTAGAAAAATAAAAAGTTTACTTTTAATCCTTTGTTTGTTAATATTATCATAATATTATCAATTGAAATTTTATGATATAAATGATATATCTGAGCAGCTAACATACTTAATTTCTTAATTTATTTCAAAAATGAGTCTAGCAGTTTTGTCTTTCATTTTTTTTTTTTTCTTCAAAATGGCTCTCACAATTTTTATGATAATTTCATTCAATTCAAATTTCTATCTAAATTTCGTTGGAGAAAAGAAAGTTAACTGTATACCTGTTGACAAACATGTCCTGGTAGTTGTAATTGGATTGAGTAATCGATTTAAATTTGCTGACTGTATTTCACCGTTATCTAAAAATATTTCATTCAGTAAATTAGAGAAAAAGAAATTAGAATTGAAATTTTATTGAATTATTCAAACAACCTGTTATCCATGAACGGAAATAGTTCATTGTAGAGCAAAAACAGGAAGAGTAATTTTTAAAATTTACTTTCATCATCGAGGTCAAATACAGTTATGCACTGCTCAGGAAGGTCAACATTTGCAATACGTAACTTTGGCCGTAATATAGTCGTAGCATTAGATGAGAAATATTGATTGGCTATAATTTTTCATAAATTAAACAATTTTCGCTTATTTAAAAGATGCATTAAATAAAATTTTATTTAAAAAAAAAAAAAAAAAAACTAATTACTTAATAAATATTAATAAATATAAAAATTTTTCTAAATGTTTTGTACTTCTGAAATATCAACAGAAATTGATAAAGTGAAAAATGTCAAATTGTTAATTTTATCAGATATCGTTGCTATTTTGTCTTTTGATATTATTTTAATTCTTATACCAATCAATATAACAAATAGACTAGGAACTCCATTTCAATTTTAATTAGAGTTCGTTCAAAAATTCAAAAGTTAAAAAAAATTCAAAATTAGTTCAAAATTTGCATACTTGAATTTCGTTTCCTTCTGATTAATCGCTTATAAGCAATTCCTTCCTCATAAATCGCTGTCGTTTCTCGTGGCGGTAAATGACCGTATTCTTCTGCATTTGATGGCGTAGAAATATCCTTAAAACAGTAATAATATTACGGAATCAAAAACAAATTCTCAATTATTGTAAAATTAGACGATAATTTGAATCAAATCAAAGTTGATTTTAGCAAAATTGAATTAACTGAATTAATTTGGATGAAATTAAATTAAATGATGGATGAAACTAAGATTACAAATTAACCTTTACTTAAAATAAATTATTCAATCTTACATCATAATTACTATCAATAGAGTAGACTGATTTTGGCGAAGATCGAAAATGCGATGAATCAGATGAACGAGTTGGAGGAGCTGGTGGACCAGGTGGTGGCGCATAGACAACTTCATTACTTTGATACGGTGATTCATTACTTTTGTAGTCAATATCAAGTGGATCTGAATATTTGAAAATGATGAAAATTTCAAATTTAATTTCATTGATTATTTTTTTCAAACTCCTTTTGTTTTTTCTGAATTTAAATTGAATTAATTATAATTATTACTTGAATAACTTTGTTCCTTATTGTTGTTTTGGTAGATAGGTGCTTGTGTTCTGAAATAAATTTCAAAAAAAGATTATTATAACTTTTGAATATTTTAAGAATCATTTTTATGCAATAATATTATAGCAGCTTACTCTTCTTCCGTAGCAGCAATAGATTGCTCATAACTTTGTTCTGATGCTTCCACTCGAATTTGACCTTTACAAGTTGGTCGCTAGAAAATATTAGTATGCGTAAAATTTCCTTATATATCAGTAAACAATGTTACAATTAATAAAAAAAAATTTTAAAAAGTTAAATCAATAAAATTAAATAAAATAAAAAAAATTAAAGTAATAAAATTAAAAGTTAAATTACTTTTTTTGCTAAAGATTAGTTAATATTAAACCTCATTTGCACATCCCAAATGATGATCTTTAGTGGTCAACTCTAGTTGACAATTGAAATAAAGTGCTGGACGATCGGCAAATTTGAAAACATATGATTCTTGTCCAGCTGTTAGATCATCTATATATTCCAAATCCAGCAATAAGTATTTATCTACTGAACACCTGTAAATTTATTTAAATGTAATTTAAGTGCTAAATATGATTATCTTTTTGCATAAATATTATTTAAATATAATTTTTACTTTTACTTTGTAATATTAAATTAATTCTCAATAGTTAATTCTCATCATTTTCCTGAATTAACTACAAATTTTATTTATTTTCATTTTATTCAAAATTCAGATTTTTTTATTCTGTAATCTTATAACTATCAATCATAGAATCACTTAAATTATCAGTAATATTAGATAAATTATCCTAAAAATTAGTATCACTGTAATCAATCATTCATTCAATGATATTTTCATGTATCTAAGGAAGAGGCGGTAAAAGTCAAAAGGAAAAGACAGGGCGGTAATGAGAGAAATTTAAATAATTGTTTGCTGTAATTTTCAATGTGTCAAATCAAGGATGACAAAGGGTTAATTTTTGATCTAATAGATATACTTGTCATTCTAGTTACTGTGCATGCATGCATGCATGCATGCACATTTGTGCGTGCGTGTGTGTGTTTACCATTTCAGTTTTATTCACAACAAATATTAAATTTCTCTTTTTAACCAAAAAAAAAAATTAAAAGAGAAAAAAAAATTTTTTTTTTTCATTTTTATCAAAAAGAAATGTCAAAGTTAATTGTAATTAGCAAAGAAATTTTTGTTTTTCGTTTTTCTTTTATCTTTTAAATTAATTTTTAATTTATTTAATCTTTCTTAAAATTTTAAAATTTATAAAATATATGCTAACCCTTTTTTATCAATAACTGCTACTGCTTCACCACCTTGTCCATCACTTACAGTACATGTATGAACTCTCATACAGTACAGACCTTTAGTCTCGGATAAACATGTCCACCTGTGATACACACTGTCACCAACTTTTGCATATCGTATTTGCACACCTGTTGCACTTCCACCGAGAATTTCATATCTGAAAATATTTTTTTTTTTTTAAATTAAAATCATTCATATTTAATTTTTCAAATAGTATTCAAAAATGTTTACATATAAATCAAATTTATGGATAATTTTTTTTTCTTCGAATAGTTTAAATTTCAATTAATTTTTAATAAATAAATTTCTAAATTAATTATATAAATGTAAATTTTTATTTCTTTGAAAATTTTTGCTTATACCTGCAAATTGGCATTTGCGTTTGACGTTGTAACTCTTCGGTTGCCATCATGCTGTAAATGAGAACTTTTTTTGCAACATTTCATGAAATTTACATATTTTGTCCGATTAGTAAAATTATTAAAAAGTCTCGTATTTATACTTCTAAATTGATCAAAATTAAACTTTATTCAAATTATAATTATGATTTAATTAATTGATTATCAGATTTATACTTCCAAATTAATCAAAATTAAACTTTATTCAAATCATAATTATGATTTAATTAATTGATTATCAGATTTATACTTCTAAATTAATCTAAATTAAACTTTACTCAAATCATAATTATGATTTAATTAATTGATTATCAAATTTGTTCATCATAAAAAAAAAAACTGCTTCAATACCTAATTTCTAATTGTTGAGTAATTGTCTTTGATGATTCCAAGTAAAAGCAATTGAGTCGATATGCTCGATCTATTTTGGTCAGAAAAATCTAAATTTATTCTTTTTTTTTTTTTTTTGTTGAATTTAATTAATTGAGATGTAATAATGGCACTAAACTATTGCAACAAATAATTATAAACACAAAAAAAAATTAATTAAAACAGGTAGTTAAAGGTAAATTTTGCTAATTATTATGCAGAATTGATCAAAAGTAACTTAAGAAAAAAGACAATATGACGAATATAAATATATTTTAAATATTTTTAAATGAAAAATACCGGATGAAATGATACGATAACCGTTGTTGTAATCCGAATGCCATTATACTGAAATGAATTATAATAAGTAATAGTATTGTCAAACTTTTCTACTTCTATTCTTTTTACAATAAATTGTTGAAATTAAACCTCTCGAGAACGACGTAACCCGCACTGATTAAATTTTATCGTAAATTTATGCTGTTCGTGATGATTTCCAATCTTAAAATATTTTAAATAACAAAGAAAAATTATTTTCCTTTTCATATAAATATTGCATTTAAAATCTTTTACTCTTAAATAAAAATTTAAAGTGTTACTTTAAATTTTATTTTTTATTTTTCAGAATTATTGGCAAAAAAAAAAAAATTATTGGCTAAACTATTAAAAGTTAAAAGTCTAAAAAAAAAATTTTTTTAATTCGAAATGATAGTAACACGGAAATTTTTTATCATTTTTAAAATTTCGTAAAAAAATAATTTAAAATAAATTACCTGAATGCAATTTCTGTCTTGAATATAACCTTTAACAAATGTTCGACCACTAAATGGTTTCAATGTTGAAAAAACGATTGATATACTATCCGAATCGCATTCAATGCTTGGATTTTCTGCATAATTTTCACTTTTTTTAATTTTCTTTTTTCTTTTGAAGAATGCAAATTAATTAATTTATATTTGAAATTTGAAAAAAATCTTAAATTTTTATTGCATTCATATTTTCAAGTTAATAATTTTTTTTCAGAAATACCTGAGACTGAATTATCGATTGGAACACCGATAATTTTCTGTAAAACCTGAAATTTTTTCCGAAATTATCTTTTCATTCTGAAATTCAAATTTTAATTGAAATTTAAATTCAAATTAAAAAAAAGGAAAAGTCTTAAATGCTATATTTTAGTTAGCTGCTTGAATAGCATTGAAGAGAGCAAATTAAAAATTATTAATTATTATTTTAACATTTATATGCAAATATATATTTTCAATTTTTTGCTTCGTTGCTTTTTTCGTTTTATTCATATTTATCAAAAGATTTGCTATATTTTCGGCTAAAAAATTCTCAAAAAAAAAAAATGAAAAAATGTTAAATGCGCAAGAATTACTCTTTTTGTTAATGTTTGTAACTTATGGCAATGACAATGACAGGCAAAGTTGACAAATGAAAAAAATAAACTTTTTTTGCTTTTTTTTCATTTCGATATTATTTATAAGTTAATAAATTGTTTTGTAAAACTACAGTGATACCATTTTATTATTGTTTTTTTTAATTTTAAATATAATTTATAAATTTTTTTACTTTTGGTATTAATATTCCATCAGAAAGAAATTTTCTGCCATTGCAAATCAATCAGTATTTGTAATTGAATAATGATAATATTGGTAATTAAATACTTGATATAAGTTTATAAAGTGAAGGAATTAATCAGTTACCAATGAACGCATTAGCATTTATTATTATTGTTTATCAGTTCTTTTTATTTGATAATTCCTTATCAATTATTGAATTTAATTGTTCCATTTTTCTTTTTCGATTAACTGATAATGTGATAATGTATTTCATATGAATTTTCTTTTACTTAATGCTTCAATGCCAGGGATAAATAATACTTCTTTACCACTTTTTTAAATTTTAATTTACTCTTTAAATTATCAAATCAAAATTTTACGCCTATTAAATTCAAAATTATATGATCAAACAATTTTTTCCTTAAATTCAACTAGTTGTATGATTAAAAATTATGCATAAACAATTAATTAACTGATTTTAACTATTAAAATATCAAACATAACGGTATGAATTAAAAAGCAAATCTTTTTAATTTCAGACTTACTAAGAGATAATCTTAAATTGTTGTAAAATATGCAAATAAAACAGTTATAAAATAAAATTTTATATATCAAATTTTATCATTTATAAATGAAATTTGTAATATTATGCATTGCATACTTTTATGCATTAATATTTACGTATTTTTTAAATTATAATTTTAAATCATAAATCTTTTTATTAATATTATACGCATCGCTAATCGAAATTTGCCACTTAAATAAGACGTACGTGGCATTTAAGTGTTATATGCGTGACTGTAAGAATAAAATTAATTTTCCGTAACTAAAAAAAAAAATTAAAGAAATATTTGCAATTACAGCATTTTTAGCTTTACTATTTTTTACTAATTTTATGATAATTTAATTGAATTATTTCAAAAATGTTGTCATCATCTTTTATATTTTCAAATTATAATAATTTCCCATAAGTAAAAAGTAAAAAAAAAAGAAAAAAAGCAAAAAAAATTAGAATTAAATTGAAATGACAATAAAACATAGAACAAAACTGAAATTATTAAAAAGAGAAAATGCAAAATAATAAAAAAGTATCAAAAGAAGAAAGCGAACTAAAATTTTGAAAAAATATATAAAAAATATAAAATATAAAATTTTAAAAAATATATGAGTCCACTCATTGTATGCATAATTTAAAAATTTTAATTGAATTTCTGATTAGTTTCATCAATTATTCATAAAAAAAATATAAACAATTACGAATGAAAATTGTAGCATTTGGTGACAAAATAGATTAAATTAAAAATTAGATAGAATAACTGTTGAAATTTTCAAAAAAAAAAAAAGAAATTTTAATAATGAATTTAGCATATAAATTTATTGCAATAATTAAAAAATTAAATTTTTTTTTTATTTTTTCAATTTTTCTGTTCTTTTTAATTTTTTTTTTTCGATTTTTCACATTTTCATTGTTGGCAATTTGTTTTTTTTTTAATTTTATGATTTGAACAAACATTTAATTTTCGTAAACTTAGTATTATCATTTAACATTTTCTAGAGCTCTTTTTTAATATTTTCAAATATTATATTAAAGTTTTTTTTTTTTTTTAACTTAGAGGGAAGAACGAGAAGATAATTTCAATAAAATATGTATTCTCTGTTCATCTCAAATCATCTGGAAAAAGAAAATTCGAATCAAGAAAAATTCGAAAGTTTAACTTAGAATGGAATAAATAGGATAAAAGGTATAGGTTAATAGGTCAAGATGAAATCTTTTAGATAAAACTTTTTTTGGCGACAATATCGCTTTCAAATTTTTTTTTTTTTTTTGTAAAATAAAAAAAAACTGGTTGAATAGAAGTTTTTGTCAAAGATTTTGTGGTTGAAACAGGTATTTGAAGATATTTATATATGCATGTGGCGCAATAGACCACCCGAAAATAATAAGATAGTTTAATTTTATTGATTTAATCTTTCGGTTTATTAGCACTCATCCTCTTTTAACATTAAATATTTTTTTTAAAAAAAAAAGAACAAAAAAACCAAAAAAACAAAACGAGTAGAGAATCATTCCCATTTCGAATTAAACCGGTTCCGACTTTAAGAAAAAAAGAGAAAAACTATTCAGAAGACAGGTTTCGACCATTCAATGAAATTTTATAATTTAACTTTTTTTCACTTCATTTTTTAGCAAATATTAAACTGTTTATTATTTTGAATAAAGGTCAACATCCTCCTTTAGTAAAGGAAAAATTTAAGTTATTAAATTAAACTTAAGTCAATTTTAACTTATCGTTGAGTAATAATCTCAAATAAACAAAATTTCCTATAAAATATTTGTTTTTTTTTTTTTTTTTTGGTAGTAATTTGTAAAAATTTCTGAATAATTTCAGCAAAATGTATAAGTAATATAAAATCGATTAGATTTTTGAATTTAAATGCAAAAATTGAACTCTAAAACTTCTTCATATTAAGATTGCAGATGTTTTACTCTTAGTATAATTACCTATTAAATAAAGGTAAATGCCAACTTCACATACCTGTGAAAGTAGAAATAGTAAAAGTATATACTGCGTGTTATTCATTAGCTGAAAATTAAACTTAAGTTAAGATTAAAATAAAATTCAGTGAATTATCAACATGAATTAACAAATATTTGCATAAAATAAAATTTGAAATTTGAAAGAAGGAAACATTCCTTAGTACAACAATATTTTCTAACTGAAATGCTTTTGCTAAATATAAAATCTCATAACATTTCCGCATTTCTTGGACAACAAAAAAAAAAACAGGAAAAAAGAAAATGAAATTTAAATTAGAATAAATTAAGTAGACAAATAACCTTGAAACTTTGATGATAGATTCTGTTAACTATACAATAGAAAAGGTGATGAAAAACGATGAAATTTGTATTTAAATTATAAAACATTTTTGAACAATAATTAGAATTGAATTGAAAAGAAGAAAAGCAAAATAAATTTTAACTTTCCCTTTTTATTGAAATTTTTCTTGCAAATTTCAATAAAATGACCAAAACTCAAGCAAAAACTCTTCTTAAATAGTTTCAAGGTAAAAAAAAAAAAAAAAGAAATGAAAATGAAAATGAGCCATCAAATAAAGCAAGTTTTTAGTATTATCATTTTTGAAGTGAAAAAAAAATCCATTATAAATTATACAACCTGAAAGTAATTCACTTTTTTTTTTTTTTTGTTCAGAAATTACCGACCAATGAAAATTTTTTGTTATAAATTAAAAATTGTAACAAAAATTTTTGAAAATCATTTTATGAACAAAATACTATTTTCTAAATTTATTCCAATTTTTTACCACATACCAGTTTTTATGAAATGAATGAAAATACATTGCTTTGTATAAACTTTTTTGGCTTTTTGATTAAATTTGATTAATTGCAATTTTAAAATTCTTTTCATCATTCTAAATTTTTATTATTAGCTCTGTAAAAAATCATTATTTCTTTTACTAAAAGAGATAATAGTGTTTTTTTTTTCATTTTTAAATATATTTTTTTCTATCTTTTAAACTTTTAAAAGTTAGCACAACAAATGCTAAATTTATAATTGCTGGAAATAAAGATCAAAAAAAAAAAAAAATGCTTAAAAATTTGTTTATCAATGTTATCATTATCATTGTATTATGTTAAAACTAATCACATATAAAGAAATGTTATATGATATTGTGTAAATAAAAAATTTTTAAATTTGATAAATACATAATATAATCTATGCTAAGTACTGAATATAAGAAATTAAATAATTAAATAAAAGAATTGAATATAAAAGAGACAATCAATTATGCAAAAAGCATAATGAAAATTAAGGAATAATATGTAATTTTTGATTTTTCTAGTACATCTAACAATTAATCAGTAATTAATTATAACACTAATGTAAGAAATTAAATAATTAAATAAAAGAATTGAATATAAAAGAGACAATTAATTATGCAAAAAGCTTGACAAAAATTAAGGAATAATATGTAATTTTTGATTTTTCTAGTACATCTAACAAATTAATCGGTAATTAATTAATTATAACACTAATTTATTAGCATTTTTTTTATCAATTATTTATCAATTATTGTTTTTATTATTTTTATTATGATTGTATTTATAATCTCATTATTATATCTATAATTTATGATTACTATCGTCCGTTACTAATACCATCCTACTGTTATTTAAAAATTTAAAATTGGTCTTACAATTATTCCTCCCTTTATGCGACAAAAGAAAAGCATAAAAATAAGTGACAATCAATCATTGTCATTTTTAACTTTCCTTTACTTCGTTTATACTATTCATTTCATTTTGGACAAACCTAATTTTCAAGTAAATTTTACACTAATGAGTTTAACAATTATATTTGTATGGGAAATATTCTATTTTATGATTACAACAATTTATATCGAATACGAATGCATATTCAACATATTACATAATGTTTACTATCATGCAATAATTTTCTAGAACAATAACAATAATAGCGATAACATTAACAGCAATGATAGTCATAGCGTCAAAATTTGGAATACTTTTATCTTCTCCGCTTTTTTGAATCAATTATCTCACATTTATATTTGTATTAACTTTCATAAATTTAAAATTTTTCTTTCCTATCCTTCCGTTTACTCTCTTCTCTTAAAATATTATAATTTCTGGTTTATCACAAAGAAAGAATTTCTCCTGAAATTAATTTAGGGATTCTAAATTAAATTGTTTATGGTAGCGATTGGAGAAAGTAGAATGTATTTTAGGAAAATAGCAAAGTTTGCGGATAACGTTTGCGGAAAGTTTGCGGATTAATGCGCTTTTCTTCTTTCAAGTATAAATTTTTTAAATTTACATTTTTTTAAAAAAAAAGGAACATTTTAAAATGAACAAATTATGGAGAAAGAGAGGATAAAATGGATAACAATAACAGTTTGTAAATAATTAAAATTTTGAATGGATTAAACGATAACTTCGAATATTATAGGACACATTTCTTGTTTAAAAATCACATTAAGCAATACTCGAATACTTAAAAAATGAAATATTAAAGTAAGTAAATATATTAGAAATTGAAATAGAAACTTATAGATGATGTGACCGGACCGGTTTCTACTATGATCAAAGTTAGCTGATACCTGGATGCCACTTGAAATGTTGGTGACAAACTGTTGATGACAAATTTCTGTTCTTACTATTCTTCCAGTAATAACTGCAACTGCTCCGCCCAATCAATTGAGCAATTTGTCTGCAAAGTTGAATAAATTAGATAGTAAAATGCAAATATATTGAAAAAATAAAATTTTTGAAAGTTATATCTTTTTAAAATTTTTTTTTACAATTATTTTCTTATAGAAAAAATGAAAAAAAAAGTGTAAAATATGAAATAAATCATGTTGAAATAAAGAAATGATAATGTCTGATACTTTTTTTTTAAAGTAATTTTAATTAAATAAAATCATTTGAAACAATCAATCTTTCAATGATTAACTAAATCCTTGACAATTCCATATTTCAGTTTTTTTGAATTCATAAAAAAATATAAATTGACAGTTAGCCTATCATATTTTAAAATCCAAAAATTGAATTTATATGGAATAATCAGTATTTATAATATTATCACTATCACTTTGATATTTTTATTATTTGTTCATTTTTTCCAACACCGAAATGCAAATCAGAATTCATTTTTTAAGTGTTGAAAAAAATTTACAACTTTGCATGAAATTGAATTAATTTCAAAAATTGATTGACAAAATCAAATTTATGTCGTCAAATCTTCAATTTTTAAACTGATATCATAATTTAGACTTAAATCAATTTTTTGCTTTTTGAAAATGATTTTGCTAATATATCAAACTCGAGATTTGATAACAAAAATAATATATCAAACTCGAGATTTGATAACAAAGATAATATATCAAACTCGAGATTTGATAATTAATTCAAAAGACATCACTACCATTGTATAAATAATTTAGATTCAGTTTTAGCAAAATAATTATAAAATTAATTAACAAACAAATAAAGTGGTACAATGAAAAAAAAAGTTTAGTTCGTTTGTACGAATTGCTTGCATTGTTTTCGATTTATTACTAATTGAATTTGAATCTGAATTTGCTTTCTAAATTTTTTCTGTCAACAATTCTTGTCGAAGTGACAAATTAAATTGAACAGTTTAATTTTTCATTTTGAACATTCAATTTTGAAATCTTCTCAAAATATCTTAATTGTAGAACAAATAAGAACTGAAAGAGAAGAAAAAATGATTGAAAGTTTATTTTTCAGCAGAAAAAGCAATTTGAAAATTATAAGCATAAAAAAAAGCAAATTTTTGTTAACAAATAATTAATTAATTAACGATCTATAATTTAGCTTTAATAAATCACAAACGATGCTAAAATATACCTAAGAAACTGTAAAGGTTAAAGTTCAATTCAGCGATCTTTATTCATTTGTTTACAAATATCTAACTTGAAAAGCTATTGTGAAAGTAATTTGAAAAAAAAGCAAATAAATTTGTAAAGAAAGAAAAATTAAATATAAGAAATATCGAAGACTGTTTGAGAGGGAACACAAAATTTAATTTAAATAATACAGTAAATAATTTAAAATTAAAAAAATCACAATGACCTTTTTTTGTTTACTAATATTAGCTTATCAATTCGATGAATGCTTATCAATTCGTAGTGAATTTTTAAATTGAATAAAATAAAATTTTATTTGATAGCAACATTTGATGTGTTATTGATAAGAAGAACTGATGAATAAATATATAATAAATGATTATTCAATTTAACAAAGTGATAAGATAAAATTATATCAGCAAAAATAATTATTGCATTCATAAAGTACTGATAAAGAATATATTTCATTTCTTCCTTATTTAAAATTTAAACTTACTTCTACTTTTGTAGAAATGAAACCTTCGGGAAAAATTTAATTATTTTCTGGTTAATTTGATCATACCATTATTTGTTATAAAGTTGTTTTATCTTTCATTTTTAATGAAATAATTAAATATTTCAAAAAATTTTTAAAGAGATAAAATGAGTCAAACAAATGATAAAAAATATTGAAATGATTACTTTCGAAAAAAAATAAACAAATAAATAAATAAAAAACACATAAGATGTGAATGGTTTTCAGGATTGGATGGAATTTTAAATTCAGTTACCCATTTTTCTTTATACAATTATTTCATCTCATTCACTTTTTTTTTCTTTTTTTAAAAAAAAAAATTAGAAGAAAAAGTTTTAAAAAAAGATTTTGTGCCACAAAAATGGAAATAATTTAAAAAACTATATCGATATTTTATGACTTTTTTTTTTTTTTTTGAAATTATGTGATATTTTTAATGTTAAAAATGTGAATCTTTGTGTTCAAAAAAATAACATTCATAAAAGGAAATTTCAATTTAATTATTTATTTGTTAATATTTTTGTTAAATAAAAAATTATTAATTTTAACGTAATGTGATTAATGTGTATTGGGATAATAATAATAATTGTATGATAAATTCAAAAAAGTAATTTTAAATCGAAAATTTAATCAAAAAAATGACAAAATTCTTTACTT